CCACTGCTTATGTCTTTTTCTTTGGCCTTAATTCTAATGAGCTATTACAACTCTTTTGCTGCTTCTTTATACCAGTAATAAACCTATGGGTATTTTATAAAATGGAACAAAAATTAAAATACTGTTAAAAAAAGAATTCGCAAATGCTTTCTGAAGCCACAGTGGAAGCGTATTTTAACTGGTATGTCGTCTTTACCTCTTCATCCTGTGGACTGAAGGTAATTGTAAAACCTATTGCCAGAAATGTATGATTCAATTGCAATCATACCCCGGCCCAGTTACAATTTAGCTTTGCTTTAATCTTAACAAGGCAACTATTATAGGCACTTGAAAATAAAGAAGCTGTATTTCTTTACAGAAATAACTTCAGTAGTTGAGAATTGCTTCAGATTGTCTTCTTGACAACCCCACCTTAGGAGACATTTTAAAGATGAATATAGAAATTTGTAGAAGGGATAAGAAAGAGTTTTCTGTAATCAAAGATTTTAGAGTTTTGGTGCTTTGAAGTATTTTGGGGCAGGGATTCGCCAAGTTGGGTATTTCATACCTTTGTTAATACAGATTCCTCTAGATGATCATGCCAATATGAGAATCCCGTTTTTGTGCTAATTTTCCCCAATACTGGCTATACTTGAAAGTAGTTTGTTTATGCATGCGTGTACACACACACAGACATACACTCATACACTTGTTTTGTTGATATTAGTCTAAAAGCAGTTCATTTATATTGTGGCTTTTAATAATAAAGTATTCCTAATTCATCTCAGTGGTATCTAATTTTGTACTGACATGGAACCCTGCAGACTGGTCTGGCTTCCTCACAGAGAGCAAACCTAACCTGATGGCTCAGCTGCCTTTGATATTTTGACTTAGAAATATTACGATCCAAGAAAGGCACCGTGAGAAAGATAAGGCTGTGTCGGGGGGGGGGAGAGGTCGACGTGTTTTTGTAGGGAGCCCCGAGTTGTTCACCATTTCCAAATGCATCTTTGGCAATATCCAGTATTTCCTTCAGTTCCCAAAAGTAGCCTTCTCAAAACCTGGGGTGTCAATGTTTTCCTAAAAGGCTTGAGTGGCTTCTAGGAGAATGTAGAGAATTGAAAGCTTCTTGAACATTTTCATTTTAATGTTTAATAAATACAAAAGGTTGCAGTTTCGGAAATCCTATGCTTTTACTCATAAGCACTGTAACATTTTAAGGAAAAGCAATCTGAAGCCAGTGAGTCTGCCATGAAGTGATCACCCTTCCAACACTTTCTCTCTCAGGGGCCTCCAGCTGGGTGCCCTCCAGGGCTACCTAAAAAGCTGCGCACATTGATCCGGAGGATGGGAGTCTAGCATTTTTGTAGACTGCCATGTGAATGAGACCTCAAATTCTTGGCATTCCTGATGTAAACACTACTCTATTTTCCTTACTGCTGGGGGCAGAAGCCTGTGTGACACCTTTTCCTCTCCCGTCCCTATGAGATCTGTGGGATATCTCAATAGCAATGGCTACATAATTCATCCAGAATCTATCCCTCTGTCACTGCTGCCACCATCACCTCTCCTATGTCACGCCCATGGCACCCTTCTCTCACCTGGTCAACTGTGATACACTCCTAGCCAAGTCAAGCTTGGTGCTGTCCTATCCGAGACAAGTTACTCTTGTCTTTCTTGGCTCTGCCACAGTCTTGATCAGACAATACCCAGTTGATCTTTTTCAAATATTTGACTTAACAGAATATCCTTCTTCTGCTCAAAACCCTCCAAAATCTTTCCATAACTTGTAGCATAAAATTCAATGTGACTACCATGGGTTGCGAGGGATACAGACTCCCTATAACCTGCCCTTTCTACCTCCCATCTCCTTTGACCCTCTCGTTCACTACCTCTGCTCTGCCACAGAGGTAACCTTATAACTCTTAACACACACCAAAAACAATTCAGTCAAGCCCTTGTGAGTGGTTGTCCTCCTAAAGCTATTTTCCAAATACCCCATGGCAGGCTCTCTTACGTCCTTTGAATTTCTGCCAAAAAGCCACTCTATGTGTCACTTATGTCACTTGAGTGACTCCACTTGTGTGACCCTCCTTTCTGTCACTTCACCCTGTTTTCATTTTCTCTTTAGCACCTTTTAGTGTGCTATATTTTTGATGTAATGTCTGCCTCCACCCTCTAGAATGTGGGCTCTATGAAAGCAGAGTCTTTGTTTTGCTCTGGTGTAATTTTGTTTCCTACAATAATACAGGTAATATACTTGACTAATATCTGGTGAATGAATTCATGATCTTTTTTCTATCTTATCAAATAGCCTGGACAATGTCTATGCCTTTTGGGGAAAAATAATTTATATGTAGTAGACATTATTCTTAGAAATCTATTCTTGAATTATATTAAGACTCATGATAGAGATATTCATGGTAGCAGTAGCAATGTCTATGCCTTTTGGGGGAAAATAATTTATATGTAGTATAATGTAAGGGTATGCAGCACGCCCCCTGGGTGAAGGGCTCAACTACAATTTGAAGGTAACCTTAGAAACACAAAAAATAGAATGGAGAAGCAAGAATCCAAGTACTCTATTCTAATATGAAGGTACTAGATGAGCTAATACAAGGTGGGGGAGAGAAGGGATATGAACAAATGAGGGGGAAGTGAGGAGGCAGGAGGGGGGTGGGGTCACACCTCTTGGGGGGGGTGGGACACAATAATAAGAGGGACTTTATCTAACACATGCAAGCAGTGTAACCTAATTCTTTATACACTCAATGAATTCCAAACAGTAAAAAAAAAAGAAACCCAAAGACTGTAGCCCAAGCATTTGTACCCTTATATTAACTTGAAATAAGAATAAGTATTTTAAAAATGACAAAGGCACTGGAGGAGTAGAGACAGAACATAAGGAAGGGAATGAAAGGAAGGAGAGAAAATAAAATCAAAGTGAAAGATGACTAAGGAAGGGAAGAGACGGGAAGCGAGATAGACAGGGTGGAATGTGTGATCTGAAGAGAGAGGAGAACATTTCTGCAGGGGCTGTAGGAATCATGTAACCTGGAAAACAAGCTCTAGAATAAACACGTAACATTCGCAACCATACAGCACGATTTTCCAATCGATGGCAATGTAAACTGTGAATCTAGGAAAAGAAGAAATACAATACATTTCCATTTCTTATCTTGCAGAGGAAAACTGTAGTCATAGATGTTGGGGAATGACAGGAAGGGACAAAGGCCAGCAGCATAGCCATCATAATTCCATGCCGGAATTTATTAATAACACTGCTTAAAAATGATATGACCATGTCTTCTTAGGATAGACAAAAATATAACTTGAACTTGGAATTTTCCTATGCTTTTTCACCTGTTTGTCCTTTCTTTAACGGTAAATCTGTCCCAAATACAAATCACATTTATATCAGCACTCTTGAACATGGAGAGTAAGCCTGGGTCATAGTGTAATGCCCCTTTAAAATGGAGATTTCACATACCGATACTGAATCCAGCTTATCAGGTCACTAAATAATGTATATCACACTCTCATTTAGTAAATGGGCTTTTAGGGACAGAAATCTTGACTTTGTTTGGCTTGTTCTGTGTTTCTGTGTCATCCAAATAGCAGAATACTACTTTATGTTGGTGAACAACTGGTCATACAGATATAACATTTGCAAACACTTAAACATTATTTAAGAGAGGACTCAAATAGTACATAAAGGTAAAATGTCATTGCCCATCGACTGGTTTCAAAATAGTCTCACAGATTCCAAAACCAGTTAAATTTCTTCTTAATTTGTCAGTTCCAACAAAATAGCCCTTTGACAATTTCATGACAAGCCAAAAATAAGCCAGAGAAGCGTTCATTACATCTTTCCTCCAACTGATTCCCATTCTTTTTTTTTAATTCTGTTTATTATGGTTTATACATCTCTAATGTAATCTTGACTACATTACCCAGAGATGACCCAAAATCTGTTTATTTTTACCAGAAGACCTTTTGTCTCCTCTTTCTCTCCTGTCCCTTTATTTATTGAAGAGGGTTTCATTTCCATTTTTATTTCTACAGAACTGATAATAAAGAGAGTAACCACACCTTACAACACTTTCCCAAATCTAGAAAAATAAACTTTAAGAGTTTGTTTCATGTGTAACTATTTTATCCCTTTTCATACATTCTCAGTCCGTTTTATTTATTTATTTATTTATTTATTTGGCCGGGGCTGGGTTTGAACCCACCACCTCTGGCATATGGGGCCGGCGCCCTACCCTTTTGAGCCACAGGCACCACCCAGTCCATTTTAGTTTTTAAGCTGTAAATATTACAAATGCCTGTCAGAGTCAGATTTTAGTTCCATTGAGATTCAAATTTAGGAACTGTGACCTCAAGACGACCCAGAAGAACTTACAAGTTTTTCATAGGAATTCCCACTAGAATGGGAAAGTTCAGCAATCTGTGAATGATTGCCAAATTTTAATCTATACGAATCAACAATAACATTGTTTCATAAAATGTTCAGAGGTGACTTTGTTTGTCATTCTCTGCGTGTCACATCTGTGATGCCACGTGTAAACAAGGATTTTTTAAATCTCTATGAAAATAAATACATAATAAAGTCTTTTTGGAGAACAAACTTTAAGAGAAGAATCTTTATTCCTGAAGGGATAGGCAGCACTGAGTGCGTTCATGGTGTCCCTATGTGTGTGGTAAGTTGCAAGCAACCAGTATCCACCAGACTCTCTGAGAGTCTCCTGCCTTCAAGGTCAAGTAATCATCTCTAGGAACATTCTTATCTCTTTAACTCATCAAGTGGCGCTGAACTGAGTTGTTTTTTTTTTCAGTATTATATGCCTCTAGTATTTCCTGTTCCTTCTCTAGTTTTCCATCTTCATCATCTGGTGTTATCCATTAAACCTGAAGATGCCACTTCTTCCCACGCCTGCATGAAATTCAAGTCTAACACACATTGATCTTTTTCTTTTCCAGATTCAAGTCTAACACACGTCGATCTCTTTCTTTTCCAGATTCCTGTCTTGGTCACGCAGATAAGTTCGACCAACCACCCCGTGAAAGTGGGGCTGTCTGATGCATTTGTCGTGGTCCACAGGATCCAGCAAATTCCCAGTAGGTAGAAAAAGGGAAACCGCACAGTGTGCACCTCTGCGGGGCGGGGGGGGGGGGTGAATTTAAAGGAGATTGATCTCAGGCAGATGTAACCAAAAAAATAACTTAGCCAATTGCTTAGCTGATGACTGTTAATCCTTTCGCTTGGTTTTATAACTCCTACTGGGGCAGGGTATCTCCGTTATTCTTGAACTAATAATTTCGGCAAACAGTGTGTGATTTTGCTTTCTTTGGGAAAGTTGGCTAGGCGAAGCAGATATAGTTCTTGTATTAATCAGAAGAAAGCAGCGGCAAATTATTTGATTGATAGGCATATGACTTTCTATGTGTGTTTATTTTAAATAAGCTTAGAAGAAAAACAGTGGTTCTGTGCTATTTTATGTTTAATATATTTTTTGTAAAGCTGAGGATCTAAGGGAAGATGAATTTATTTGGGTAAATAAAAATTTGTATGGTGCTATATCTACCTGAGAAGATATGCATCTATTTTCTTTATCTAAATTACATTCCCCTATTTAATCTAGTTCACATTTTGTAGAATGAACATATATAGGTTCCTTTGGGCAACTTCTCATCACATTGGAAAATCAAAATGTTAACTGTATCTTGGAGCAGTGCTTTCCATAGACACAGCCATCCTTTAAAAGCTTCTGTTTTTTAAACCTCCCCTGCTTGAGGAATGGTCCTGAGAGGTGCTTGGGGGGTTAATGCTGAGTGTGTTTGTTTGTGTCTTAGCTATGCCTAGCTAGGGGTTTTCCTAAAATGTATCTCCAGATGAGATCACTCTTTCCCTTCTTTTATTTCCATTCTCTTCTTCTTTTATTTCATTACAGTGGTAGAAAATTTATCACACGCAGTTGCCGTTTGGTCTTGGCTTTGGGTGATGTTACTTAATTACAACATCATAGTCAATGGAGTGGAAACGATGTAGACTTTTCAGAGCAATGGATGGGCTAGAATCATTTTAGGGATTGTCTAACCACTATCCTTCTGGGTGACAGTCATACATGACAGTTCTGCTTGGTGAAGAAAGTACAGCCTCCGCGGGGTGTCTCCTTGTTAGCTGAGAATTGGTGGGAGGTCATATTGAAAAGAATTGTTAAATCAAGGCAGATTTTCCAGAACCTAAATTGTACTGCAGACAAAGCAAAGATACATTAGCATGTGTAGGCAACACAAAGGCTCGCAGACAGTGCTTTAATACAAGCAGTGGAGCCCTGGGAGAATCGAAGTTGACTTCTGTTTGAGGAAGAATGTTCTCACATTCTTTTTTTTTTAAGAAGTGTTAAATCAAGCAAGACTTGAGTCAGTTATTGCACAATCAAAAGGAAACACTAGTTTTCGTTTGTTGGTTCTTTTCATCCCTAAAAGAATTTTATTCATAGCTGACACAGAAATCCTTTAAGTCCATGGTGTTCTTATAATCTGTTATTGTTCACGGAAAAAAAGAAAAAAACCTACCAAAATAGAGAAGATATTTTATGAATGTATTGAAATAAGTAAATAGTTTGTCAGTATCTTCCCCATGATAAAATTGTACTTAGGCATCAGGGCCCCCAAATTTGCATCCCTTGTTAGGCTGGAGAAGGATAACTGTTGTGTTTTAGGGAGAAAATATCGTTTCAAAGATAAATTTCATTGAATAAACTGGCAAAATTTGTGGGAAGTTTGAGATCAGATTATGTCTAAGCATCATTTAAAACACGTGTCTTAGAGTTTACAGAAAATCTGCCCCTGGCCAGGCTGCAGGGGAGAAAGGCTTTCACAACCGCCTGTTTACCTCCTGTTCCTTCATGAGAAAATGGCCCAAGAAGGAATGAGAGGTCTGGGTTTCTAATTTCTCCACCCCTGTAGTTAAATGGGACCATATATCGGCAAGATAACTGGAATGGATGTGTTGTACTTAAAAATATTCTTGGGAACAGAAAACTTTGATCTCCTTCAATATCTATTCCCACATTTATAAACTGTAACAGTGTAACACGAGCTACTCTATTAAGAGTATTCTCAGCTAAAATCCAAAAAAGCACAGCTTAGGATAACCCAAGATTAGCATAATAGGTTATGTAAGAATTTTTTCTTCATGAGAAATAACATGATTCCTCGAGATCTGTATATTAATCATGTAATCAGAACTTAGTCCTTTTCAAAAAATTCTTTGCCCACATTTAACAACCTTCACTATTAAGGGTTATCTCTGTAGGGAATTTAAATCCTTTATCTCTTACCCCCATCTTCCCCTCTAAGTGGATTTAGGGAATGATTAATGATAATCCTAAGTAATGACTGGTTTCGTTTCTTCTGTATTCCAAGGTGTGTTACATAGGACCCTGTTCTCATAAGATTAATTTTGTGTTCTTTTAATCATTTTGGTTACATGAGGTATAGAACCCAGCCTTGCCTTAATCTAGCCCCGGGAAGGTGGGTATGCCAGCAACAGCCTTGAAAATAATTTTTCCCAGTGGGACCACCATTGCCATACCATTCTTATCAGATTTGGTGAAGGTTGGATAAAGCCTTCAAAAACTATAATTTAATTTAATTTACTTATTATTAAGATTTCTCCCCATTCATTCCTTATAATACCACCAACAAGAACCAAAAGTATGCTTTTGTTTTTTAAAAGACTTACCAATGATTTCATTGTCACCTTCAAGCATAATTAATGAAGGTAGCTTTCATCTTTCAAAAAAGATCTGGTCATCTGACCGTTTAAATATCAAAGGGAATTCAAGCATTGTTAGTAAACTGATGAATAGGTCTGAAGTTACAAGGAAAATTCCTTTGCTCCATCCAAAATAAATAAATAAAAGGAGAGAGACAAGAGAGAGAGAGAGAAAGGAAAAAGTCTGTAGTAAAATTAGCCCTCATATTAACAAAATAAAAGATGGGAATTTGCTAAAAGTACAAAAATAAGAGATATTATAATATGAATATGGGTCATGAGAGCTGAAGCATTTTCTTTAATGCCTATAATTTTCTTTATATATAAAATGAGCATCTTAGTACCTAAAAGATGATGGGTGCATAGCGCTAAGGATCTAGCACAACGTAATCCCTATACTTGGACTTGTAGTATTGTTTTTTCCATTGTCAGTTCTTTAAAAGACTGTGATAGGGAGTCAGAGATCACTGCGCAGCCCACCTTGCCCCTAGAATGAAATTAGAGGGATCTCCCAGAAACACTCTCACAGAGGCTCTTTGGACCTCTGGAAGTCTCTCTGCCTGGAACTGGGTTGCATTGTGTCTCATCCCAAGACCTGTGTCTGTCTGTCTGGGCGTCCTTGTGTCTACATCACTTTCTGCCTTCACAAAATGTACTTGTCAAACTTTAGAGGTTTAAAGAACCGCGGAGAGAATCAGCCTCCACAGGTACAGAAATGAACAATAGGTCTGCACACGCAGTGACTGACTTGGGTTCTTCATTTCAAAATACACTTCTTATGCCTACAGGCACGGCCCATGTTAGTCTGAGTAATTTATAAAATAATAGGACACCCAAAGGCAAAACTTTAAATGACCTGTAAATATACTATGGAAAAAAAGAAATAATTTTTCCACCTGTTGGCCCCTTCTTTTTTACATTTTTTCCTACGTGTTACACGCCTGCGTAAAATGTGGTCGTTAATCACTACAGCAAATTCATTAAATTTAGGGGACTTGTCTCTTCATAGGTTGGTCATAGAGGTTGCCTCACATACTACGTATCAATGAAATGGTGTGACCATCCTTGCTTTCAAATTTTTACATGTACCCAATTCTCAAGAAACTGAATTTCTAAATGTTGAGTGTTAATACTGTGTAGTTTTTAAAATGTATTTTGTTAAATGGCTTCCCACAAACGTACCAATTTACTCCCCCATTAGGAGGGGTTCATCTAGTTCTGTTATATTAGATCAGATATGCTATTTCCCCAGATTCTTTCCACCGCTATTATTATTATTTCAGACACTATTATTCGTTTTTAAACTTTGCCAATTTGATAAGTAGTGCAAGGTGATCCATTGTTCCTCTAATTGTCTTTTGATTGCCAGAGAGTTTTAACGTTGCCATATATTCATGGGTCACTTGTCATTTCCATAATTTCTTGTGAAACAGCTCTTTGAAATAATGCGTTCTCAGCCTTGGCTTATGTCTGTCCCTCCAAAGCCTTTTACTTAGCGCACTAGGTGTTTCCAGATACAGGCACAGTTCTTAGTCACACTTGTTTTTTCTCCAGTTTAACATTTGGAATTTCAGTCCAAATCTCGGAGGCACCAGCCTTCCTCAACACACCTCACGTGTCACAGGCCTGCAGCCCACCCTCTGAGCTAAAAGGCTGTAACGTTTCTGGCAGGAAACACAGAAAATCCACCCATGCCATGTGCTGGTTTCATTTGGAAAACTTAGGACTGTGTCCTATGAGGAATGGGAAAGTTACTTTAACACACACGTGCAGGATTCTAGCATAACCACCCGATTTGGAAAGCGGCTGACTTAACCTGAAATGGCTCTACCGTCAGTCATGATAATGACTACTTATGAAACCCGTAGAGTATTCCACTTCATCCTTCTAACCAGCAGTACATTAACTGGCACCCTCATAACATCAGGCTTCTTCTCATCAGCATCTGCTGTTTTAAACTTACTGATATTGTTCATACTTCAACGTGCCTTTGCTCTGTTGGTTATTATTACTTACAGCTCAACAAGAAATATTAAGCCTTTTCCAAAAATAAAACTGACAATTAACTTGGGAAGCAAATATATTTTTAAAATAGGCCTGGAGCTGTGACTCATTCCTGTAATACCAGCAACTTGGGGGGCTGAAGCAGGATTGTATGGGGCCAGGAGTTTAAGACCAGCCTGGGCAACATAGCAAAGCCCCTCTTTAAAAAATGAAAAAAATTAGCCAGGCGTGGTGGTGCAGGACTGTAGTCCCAGCTACTCAAGAGGGTGAGGCAGAAGGATAATTTAAGCCCTGGAGTTCAAGGTTGCAGTGAGATAGGGTGGTGCCACTG